CTTTATTTCACATTTTATCTGTCAAAATGATGCATAACTCAACATATTCATACTGAAATGTTTCAGCATCTGTTTTTATAGATCTTTCTATCACTTTCTTTGTTTTTTTTCACAAAAGAATGTCATCAATTGATGCCTTTTGCATTTTTTGTTTTCAAATGCCTTTCCATATAATTTGCTCCACAGGAAAGCAAATGCAATAGAACAACACTGAGGGGAAGGAGCACACTGATTCATTTTGCCTGGGCACTGGGCAGGGCCTATAGCACCATGCTCGCTCTCTCCTGGCACACTCCCAGCCATGTCTCCGGCATTGGAAGTGTTGCTATTCTACCTCAATTAACTGATAGAACTTGATGTTGATCAAGGTAAAGGTGCAAGCACTCCTTTAGGATACACATAAGAAATAATTTTTGTTTATCTATTTTGCTAGTTAACAAGCATAAGCTTAAATTGTCCCAAATTGGGTGAATTGGTTTAATTTTCTATTTTAATATAATATGACCAATTTGTATTTAATGTTGATGTTTACTGGTAAATTCAGGTTAGTGTTTAATTCAGGTTAGTGTCTGCCTCCTGAAAACTATTCACTTTGTTTGTCATTGCACTTAAATTGCTAAATTGTAATTTAGTTACTCATTAGTGATGGTAATTGTCTATATCTTGCCAAATAGCCTGTGCCCACTAGAAATGAGACTTGCATATATTAGAAAGGGCTATTCTGTGGCTGGTGAGCACACAGAATAATGTATGCCATAAATAAGCACCTTGCTATGGTTAGTAGTGTTTTGATGGCTATTAAGTATCCCTCGGGTAATTAGGAAACACATTTTTGTGTCATTAAGAAAATGAATGTGAATTTAATGTAGAGGGATTGCAGGTGGTACAGCAGGCCTGCCTTAGCATAATATTGCCTGACATCTGCATCAGTTTGGATACTTCTAGCAATGGTGTACTCACAATCTTGTTCTAAATTAAAGAACAAGTGTCTTGTAACCTCTTCAGTGCTAACCCCGGAAGGGAGCTTGCTTCTTACCCTTGACATTCCGTCAGTGAAAGCAGAGTCATTTCTGTTCCTTCTGGCTCTTCACAAAATTCAGTTTTGTCAATTGATTGTCCAGTTCTCAGTCTTCTGCTTTCTCTCCTTGGTCCTTTTCTCCATGCAATCAAATAGCTCATTCATCATAAATGGCAGGTCATGTACCTCGTTGCACCTCTTTGCACACAGTGCATTCCTGACTGGTGAGTGAGGCATAAAGACACTTGGCATAAAGTACTGGGGTGTGTGTGTGTGTGTGTGTGTGTAAGTGTAAGCTAATATCCAGTTAATGGCCCTATTTTACCCACCATGTCTGACATCACCGTTATGCCTATAAACACTGTGAGTCATTCACTACTAGAAAAGAAGCCCCTGGCCAAACAAATTTCCTCTCACCCTTGCATTCCCTCTTCAATGTCAGAGCATGGAAGACGCACTGCGGGAGATTTGGGTGGCACGTGTTGGGCACAGAATGGAAGGAAGGGAGCATGGGGAAGCCCCATTGCGTGTGATGCCTGTTCATGTAACATTGGATTTAACCTTACAAAATTACATTAAACTGGAGAAGCTCCCCCCCCCCCCTTTGGGCAGAATTTTGACTGAGCTGTCTCTCAGAATCATTTGTTGTTTGGCAGCTTCCCAGAATGAGGATAACACTAAAACATTTTTAGTACATCACAACATTTTGCAAAAGTTTAAATTGTCAGGATGTTCATTTTCAACAATGGAATTATTCAGTCAAGTAAAACTGACAGGATACATTAGATTTCACACAACACATATGACAGTGTCCCACTTATGCACTTGACTTAACAGGGGGTTCTTTCATTTTATCTGCAGGAAGCAGAGAGGAGAGAGGACTCTGACAGTCAGATGCTTCCTTACTTGATTTCTTACTTCTGGAGAGGAGTTCAGCAAAGCCACAGAAAAGCAGGACCTGCTCCTTTCTCCTCTTTCTCACTCACCCAGTCTGGCCACTGTTGGGGAGATGATTGGGCTCTTTGTGTAACCTAGACAAAAAGTGGAAGCAGCCAGTTCTGCCCATTTTATCCTCCCACTCTGATGATGCAGAATAATTTACATAGGGATGACATGATGGAAGGGACAGGATTCAGGGAGCCCAATCCTTTCCGCCACCAGTGAGAAGGCATGAAAAGAAGCATGTGTTTGGTTGTGAGCACTGAGGATGGGATGTGTGCCACTGCTTACTCTTTCAGTAGTGGATAAAGAAGGAAGGAAGGACTGGGTCTTGTGGAGCCATCCAGAGAAGTGAGCAAGCAAGCAAGCCTGCATGTGAAAGGAAGAAGGGGCTGCTGCTTCAACAAGCAGACACCATCTCCATCTACTTCTGTCACTAGGTAGTGTGGGGCAGGGAATGGTGCCCAATCCCCCAAAGTGCCACTCAGAGGAAGACTGCAGGAGAGCAAAGGAGAGCTGGCTGCTCTTTCTATGACCACCCTCTGTGTTGCAGCATCCAGAGACAGATGGCAAAAGAGTGGGCAGAGTGGCTGCTTGAAGCTTCCTCTCTAAGCAGTGCCGTGGGACCAATCTTCCCTGATCAGAGAGGGTGAGCAAAAGCACTTCCTTATAGGAGGGATACCTAGCAGTACCAGTGAAAAGGTCTTGTGCAGCTATTCTATCTTTTCATCCTTAACAATTTATTGTTGATTCCAGATTACACTTTCATCCTACAATTTAAGTTATGTTAGTCACAAAGTCATGTCCGACACACACGACCCCATGGACAACATTCCTCCAGGCTCTCCTGTCCTCCACAATTCCCTGGAGTCCACCTAAGCTGAAACCGACTGCTTCAGTGACTCCATCTAGCCACCTCATCCTCTGCCGTCTCCTCCTTCTTTTGCCGTCAGTTGTTCCCAGCATTAGGCTCTTCTCCAGGGAGTCCTTCCTTCTCATTAGGGGGCCAAAGTATTTGAGTTTCATCTTCAGTATTGGCCTTCTAAAGAGCAGTCAGGGTTGAATCCTCCAATTACCCTGCCTCAAACAAAAAAACTTTACTGAGGAGGTCCAGATGTTGTTGGCTTCCATTTCTAACCCTTCTGTATTTTCCCACCACTTCTTCCAACTTTTTAAAAAACCAGAAATAGCTGGTTATGGAAAAAAGATGGAGTAAATGCACCAGAACTGACCCGATTTATTTTGCTGCCTGAGGCAGAGCAGCAAATGCCAATCCCCTCCAACAAAGTCACGATGCACAGTGTCTCCATGACTGAGGAAGGGCACTTGGACCGTACGAACCATGAAGGGCACTTGCACAGTGCAAGGAGTTATGTGCAGCTGAACTGCTTTCTCATCATGCTTGCAGTCCTTGCAGCAATCCTCCACAAACAACTCTGGAAGAAACAATTATAGTAGATTCCTGTTTAGTAGCTTCTTTGCTAGGGCAACCCACTACCTTGCTCTTTGCTGCAGTATTTAATGTTTGATTGACTATTCTCATTAGCAACAGCTGCTTGTGATCACCTGGTCAAACTTAATCTGCTATAAGGTTAAAAATAACTCCCTTCTCTCAGCTTTCTGAACCAGTGCAATTTGGGGACACTGCACTCACATACAAGACAAGCATGGCACTGTATCAGAATATAGCTTCTAGTGAAGTCTTGCCCAGCCTTCTGCTTATCAGATGTGTTTGGGCTACCATGGCCGTCATTCCCAGCCAGCACAGTCAGTGCTGGCTGGGAATCATGGATGTTGTAGGCCAACATCCTTGGCAAGCACCAGATTGTATGAGGCTGCTGTAAGAGTCTTCAAAGCAGTGTGGTGCAGCAGTTAGAGACCTGGGAGATGCAGGTTTTCGTCCCTGATCATCAAATTTTGGGACAAGACTGACCCTCAGCTCAACCTGCCTCTTTGTGTCGCTGTGAGAATAAAAACAGATCAGGGGAGAAGGACCATGTAAGCTGCCTCCAGTTCTTCGAAGGAGCAGCACGGGGTGGGGGAAGGCAGCCAGAACTGCAACACTCAGTCAGTGACAACTTAGCCAGCTTGAGCGTTGCCTGCCAGACTTCTGCAAGGAATTTTGCTACCTGAGGCAAAGGGCGAGATGGCCTCAGCCCAAGCAAAAGGCAACCGGCTTGGCGGTTGATTCTTACCCCAACCCTGGGAAAGACACAGCATTCGCCTCGCACCTGAGGGCAACGGGCTAACTTAGAGGGGGCAGGGGAGGTCACCGGCGCACGGAGCGCTGTCTCTGCGGTCGCCTTATTTCGCCTAATGGCAGAGTCGCTCGTCCAGCAGCAGCAGTTTCCGACGGGGCGCCACTTTCACACGTGTATGTGGGGAGCTGGGACCTCGCCGCGGGCTGGAGAAAAGCGCCAGAAGATGCCAGCAGCCCTCTCTCCACTTCTCCCTCTCGTTCTTCGCCACTGCCTGTGACCGCGATTGCTCGCCGCCGTCGCAATTTCTCCCGCCCTGCCGTACCCTGCCCTTGCCCGGGACGCCCGTGGTCCGCTTGCGGCTTGGCTCCGCGCGGCGCCGTCGCTCCGCAGGCGGGCTGCAAGCCGACAGCCGGGCGGGAGAGGACCGGTCAGTCCCCGCCGTCCCCTCCCCTCCCCCCCCCTTCCTTCCCGTTTCTGCTGCGCCTGAGCTGCGAGCGCCGGAGACAGAGGCGCTTCTCGGGACTCGCGCTCGGAGGCTGCGCCCGCCGCTTCGAGGTACCAGCTTCTCCCTCTCTCTCGCGTGGTCCCCGCCGCGTCCGCCTCCCCTTCCCGTCCTTCCACCTGGGCGCGCTTTCCTCGGCCGCGCTCCCGCGGTGCCCGCCGCAGCCGCGCTCGCTCCCCCGCGCAACCACTGGACCTCGTTTTGATCCAAACGAAAGTAAAAACAAGCGCCCGAGCGGGGAGGGAGCGGGGGAGGGAGCGGAGGCGCCGTCTGTCCTGCCTGGAGCAGCGGACGAGCGCTCTGCTCAGGGGCCCTTTCATGCCCCTTCCCATTTTCCCATTTCTATCGCTTGGGAGTTTCCTTGGCCGGGGCAGCCTTGCCAGCCCCACGGTTGTCCGCAGGAGCAGGCAGCCAGTCCTCCGCTGGTTTCTCAAGGAGGCTTATGCTACCCTTTTCTCTCGGGAGTGCTTGCGCTCACTGCTGTCAGTTGCTTCGAAGTGGGAAATGCAGCGAAGTATTGTGGTTCGCCTGGCGTGCCCCCGTGCGCGGTGCCAGCCAGCCAGCCAGCCAGCCGCGTCGCGCTCCAGGACACTCCATTCCGGCTGGGCGGACCGCTCCAGAGTTCTGCCAGTTGCAGCTCTCAGCATCCCCCGGCCTTGCTTTGGTTAGAACGAGAGGGGACTCTCTGCGGCCACCTGCGGTTTGGCCCGTTGAGCTCCCGCCCCTCCCCAGTTTGCCAGAGAGGGGAGCGGCTGGGGGATACTGAGCTGTAACCTGGACAGCACCAGCTTCGAGAAGGCTGTTCCACCCCTTGCCCTCCGCCAAATGCTCCTCTTCTTGCTTGTTTGCTTTTCTGCCTCAACGCAGGCTGCATTCCGTATCCGTTGAGCAGGCTTAGTCCAAGTCCACTTGCTTTTGTGGTTCTCTGCCTATACAGATTTGTTCCCCATTTCTTTCGGTACTTGTGCAAACCTTGGCTCTTCCTCCATACCTGCTCACTACCTCCTCTCACATGTGCTGGGATGTTTGGTTGGCATCGGAAATAGAAGAAAGGTGTCTCAGTCTTCTTCTAAGACAAGCTTTACTCACCCAGGTGCCCTCGAAATCTACCCAAGCCAGCACAGCACAGAATGATGGGAGTTGTATTCCAAAGCATCTGGAGTCAGAGCTTGAAAAGGCTGCCCTAAAGGCTCAGAGTGACATAAAGTTTCCCATCACCCTCATGTAGCTTCAGCCCAACCCTGTGACATAGATTAGGTCGAAAGGGTAACTGGCTCAGCCTCACCAGGGAGCTTTCTGCATGACTGTCGCAATGTTCTCACACCTGCCCCTCTGTGGATCACCGTATGTCACAGAGTGCTTCAGCTCCCACCTATTCAGGGCTGTTGGGCCCTTGCTCCTTTGTATGTGAAAGATGGCACTTGAGTTTCTGCTGTCAGAATTGTCTTGCTGTCAATCAGGTGGCGCAGTGGGTTAAACTGCTGGACTGGTGGATCAAGAGGTCGCCAGTTCGAATCTGCACAATGGGGTGAGTTCCCGTTGCTCCGTCCCAGCTCCTGCCAACCTTGCAGTTCAAAAGCATGCAGATGCAAGTAGATAAAAAGGTACCACATTGGTGCAAAGGTAACAGCGTTCCGTGCACTTTGGTGTTTAGTCATGCTGGCCACATGACCATGGAGACTGTCTGTGGACAAACACAGGCTCCCCCGGCTAGGAAACGGAGATGAGCACTGCCCCCTAGAGTCAGGCATGACTGGACTTCACGTCCAGGGGAAACCTTTACCTTGTTACCTTTACAATCAGCATTACAGTGTGTCTCTATCTCTGTTATCACAGCAAACTGTTTTGACCATTTGCCAATGTAAATGTGCCATTTCCCATAGCTGCGCATCCAGACTAGTGAAATCAGTGTGGATTCACCTTGTTCTGACTCTCACAATTATATCAAGTTTTTTAAATTTAATTTTTAATGTGAACACTGCAAAGCTGGCCTCGAAACTGCAGCTGGCAGAGAATGCCAGGGTGAGAAGTGGGGCAGCCTACTCAGGAGAGCATGTGACTAATTCCAAAGCACTGGCCACTGAAGCAAGTTCAGGGTGCTTGTGCTAACCGATAAATTCCAACATGGTTTATGACCTGCATACCTGATGGCGTGTATTTCCCTTTTTATTTATTAGATCTATATCTAGTATTTTTTTTCTTTTAACATAACCCAAAGAGGCTTGCATCATTCTTTTTCTCCTGCTCTCAGACAACAACACAACAACTCCACAACAACAACCCTGTGGGGTAGGTTGGGCTAAGAGTCCGTGAGAGTCACCCGGCTGGCTCCACTGCTGAGCTGGGACTAGAGCCCAGAGCACCTGAGTCTCGCTCCCATGTTCTTACTACTACGTCGTGCTGGCTCACGTGCCAGCTTAAATACTGAGATTCAGTGGGCATGCCCTCTTGATGGGCCTGCCTTCTCCTGAAGCTTGACATGTGGCAACCTGAGGCAGGGTGTTTTTGATGAAGGTGCAGCTTAATTCCCCTGCCCTCAAAAAAAGTTTCTGCTGAATCAGACAAGATCAGACAAACTGCTAAAGATGTTAACTGTTCACTCAGGCTTTTAGTTAAATTTGTATTGCTGAATCCTGTAAACTGTTATTTATCTGTTCCCCATTGTCACTGGTATATGGTTTTACTGAGTTTTATTTATTTATTTATTTAGAAAATTTCTATGCCACCCCATTCACCGAAGCCTCGGGGCGGCTCACAAAGATATCAATTAAAATATAATACAATAAAAATATAAAACAAGTTAACAATATAAAATAAAATAAGTTGTCAATAAGTTTTATGGACCTTTTTAACCCCAATTTGGGATTATTCCACAGTGAAAAGTAGGAAATATATTTTATAAATAAAATAAATAAAAACAAAATGTTTTTGAAAACTAACAAGGCTACCACTCTGAAAAATATAAATTTTAGCTTTTCACATCATTTCAGCAATGTGTTGAAAACAGGCACACTCTTTCTGTTAGCTCCCCTGTGGCCTTTCGTGAGGAATTTGCCTGGGGCATGCTGGGAATTGTAGGATTCCCCCCCCCCCCCCCCAGTCTAAACATGCATTGGATTGCTTCTTTAAACATCTGGTACTGCCTAAGCATAGCCTGGTCTTTACTGAATGCAAAAATATGTTTTTGAGTAAAGGCCCCATTTGTGCTTGTATTTATGCTGTGATCACCTCTTTATTCAGTAATGGATTGTTTCTATTGAACTCACTTAGATAAATGCCTTATGACTGCCCTTTCATAAAACCAGATGTTTATTTGTATTTATATATGTGGTTATACATAACTAGAGCAAAACCACTCTACATATAAACCACTTGTATTGTTCCTTAGGGATTTCTGCAGTATAGCTCATTAATGTTCACTCTTCATCAGTGGAAAAGTAGCTATTCATTGCTAGTAATTTTCCAGCATTGGCACCGTAGATAATTGTTAAACTATTAAACTGTAGATTGTGATTTATAGTGTCCATCACTGCAACAATCTCTAAGGGATCACTCTGTGCTGTCATTAGAAACATACTCTCTTGCAGCATAAAATACAGTACAATAGCTTGTAATGACACACATATTTTATTACCTGCTGGTAATACACTATCAACAAGGATGACAGTTTAATTACATAGTACATCTCTTGCTGGCAGATGACTGACTCTGAAAAATTTCTGCGACTCTTCACCAATGTGTTAAAAGGATGTAACTAAAAAATTCTTGGTGCCCTAAACTGAATCTCTATTTAATGTGCTAAAGAAGGACAATACTAATTTTACAGAATTCTACTGGCATATGTACAGGTGTTCAGATAACATAGACAACAGTCTTCCTGTTTATCTTTTGTGTGCAGAACATAAAATAATGGGCTTAAATGACAGGAAGGTGGGATTTTGTTTTCATTTTAGCAGTGGAATTCTCTGTTGTTACAACTATCAAGTTGTCTCTGAATTATGGTGATCCTATGAATGAATGTCCTCTAAAATGTTCTGTCCTTCACAGCCCTGCTCAGTTCTTGTATACTCAAGGCTGTAATGGAAGTCTAATGGATGGCTAAAAATGTTTGGGAAGTTTTCATGAAAAGGTTAAGATTTTGCCATTGTCCCTTTCCCCCTTTGGAAATGAGGGGCAATGAGGGGGATGGACAGGCTACATCTCTGACTGAACTATGAAGTGTATGATGCATATAATAAGTTTTGCTAAAATACTTTTCAATCCGAATTATTGCTAATGCATTACAGTAGAGAAAATATTTTAAAATAAAATGTGCACTGTAGCCAAAGTAGATTTTTATTTCTAATTCTAGATACAGGAAATGCATTGCCCTTCTCTAAAGAAATACCAATCAGGATCAAATTATCACTGATGAACATGGTCTATATTGGAAGATGAACATTCTATGATGAATTGCAGATTTTCTCTCCTGTAGGTGCAACATGCCTGCTGATCGCCAGATGATGTAGAAAGTGTTTGCATGCTGATATTATTTCTAATTAGGTATATTACAATAATTCAAAACTTGAAATTACAGATGGAAGCAGAAGAAATGTGATCAGCAGTGGAATCCTTGGTGCTTATACAGAAGTAAGTCCACCTGTGTTCTGTGACTAGTTTGGAGGGAGGTTTCTTTCTACTGAACAATAAACTGGTTAGTTGTTGGTTCTCTCTAGGAACAACCAATCAATGCATAATAGCAGTTAATAAAGCCTGAGCAATGACTGACTGATCTGTTCAGGGAAAACTAGTGCAGTTCCAAATGCAGAGGCTGGGAACAGTATGTCAAATAACACAATGCCCACAGTAAGATTTATCTAATTGACAAATGCAGCTGCTGAATGGGTGGTGTTTTCCCTGGAGATGTTTCTCTGAGTACTTGACAGATGACCAAACTGATCTCTGTCTGAATAGTTCTTTTAAGGAATATAATAGGCAAGTAAACATTTAATAACCTGAATGCAATTCATGTAGTTTGAATTTTGGATCATCCATAACTGGCCCCAGGAAGTTATGCTAGTATGCTGACAAAGTGTATGCCCAGGACCATGTGCAGTTTTGAGGGTGCTCTTAACAAAAGTGATTTTGATGGTTATAGTAAGAATGTATCATTAGCTGGGCATGATTGTGTCCTCTCCTGCATAGCAGCTTCTCTAATCTCAGTGCAACAAGTCTCCATATGAATGCTGTATTTACTGCGTTATGATATTTGTCTTTTTGAACAGATAAAACTAAACTTTACAGTCAAGCTAAAAATAACCACCTGTTTTCTTGACAGTGGGAAATAGAAATATTAACAAAATATGGCGATCTCAAAATATTAACTGACAGACATTTTAAAGAATTAGCCTTCCTTTATTGATAAGCTTAGATTTAATTTGCTTGTTTTTAAATTATGGGCTCCTAATGATTAATGATCCTTAAGCAAAAGGAGCCAGAAAGATAAATCAGGTCCTTGTGTGGGAACGTGAATCTATTGGATATTGGCAGATTTTTTTAAAATGTTCCATTTGCTGGCAAAGCAAAATGCCCAGTTATGATTTATACCTTGCTTATTTTCTAAACTTTTTTGCCTTGGGACTCTTGTGGCTTTCATAATAACTTCATTAGAAACTGCATAGATTTAACAAAATCAGGGAATTGTGATTATTTGTTTGAGCCATTGGGTTGACAGAAATGGACTCCCTTTGGGAAAATCTCTCTATCCAATATGGCCAAATGCTATATCCAAAAACAAGGGATGGGGGTGGAGATGAACACCTGAAAATTAAACAGAGGCATCTTCTGTAAACACCTCTGGAGGGCACCAAGTTAGGGAAAGGAGGAGCAAGTGTACATGGAGAAGTGAAAATCCACAACTCTATCTGTTCTTTTACTAAATATCAGTGACCACTAAAAAGCTGGATCTGGAAAGAAAATGGCTTTTTAGCCAGTGACCTTAATCTCACTGATGTGAAAGTTAGTTTACTTTCTACAATGAATGGAACATATCCTGCAATTCAGATATCTATAGAGTGCTGCAGTGAGCTCCATTGCTTTACTTGTGATGGCTTCCTGGAAACAGATTTCATTGTTGAATTTCAAAGTTACAACATAATTGTAGGTAGGTGTGAGCAAAGGAATCAGATTTCTAGTTTGGCAGAGGATTAAAACTCCCTAGATTCCTAGAAAACAAAATCTTCTTTGTGGAAGTAAAATCATTTAAGATGCTGCCCTGTGATTTCAGTTGACTCTTCAGATCTTCCCTCCTTTTTTTTTCCTCTTCTCTGTCAGCTGTCTTTTTAGAATATATGCTTTCTTACTGTCTTTTTGGAATGAAAACTGACTGTTCATATCTTGTTTTTGTTGAGCTTGTTTCAGTTCAGGAATTTCAGAAAGGAAGAAAAATATAATTTTGTTCAAATGCTAAGCAAACATGATCCTGTATTGCCTTAATTAGTACCTTTCATAGCAATCCTAACCCCACAATTGCCCCTCAACTGTGTGAAGAAAGATGTCTTTTATCACTCTGGATCTCCCACCAATCAACTTCATAGGACAACCCGGGGTTCAGGTGCTTTGGGAGAGGGAGAAAAATGTTTCTCTCTCCAGTTTCTCAACTCCATGCATAAGTTGAACACCTCTGCCATGTTTCCCCTTATTCCCCTTTTTTCTAGGCTGAACATTCTCAGTTGTTGCAGTAGCTCCTCACAGCCTACTCATCATTTTCATTGCCCTTTTCTGCACTTTTTCCGATTTAACAATGTTCTTGTCCAGTTGTGGTGAGCAGCACTGGACACAGAATTCTAACTCCGGTCATACCAAGAATTTGTTTAGAGGGAGTATGATCTTGGCAATTCTGTTTTGATTCTGGATCTGAGCTTGGAGCACCCCCTCCTGCCCCCCGCAGCTGAGAGAGTACTGTGAGAACTGTGTTGGATCCAAGAACAACCTTGGGGATAATGTGGAAAGGGTGGAGGAGGAGATGGGAGAAAACAGGCATTGCTCCAGTGTGAAGTATCCTGGTGGTGATGCAACCTTCGCCCCTCATGCTCCAAGTTATGACACATCCATGGCTGAAATCAGCTACCCAAGTGCTTTCAGAACAGGAGCAGTATGGAGGCATTCTTTACTTCTGCACTTCTACCCTACGTAGGGTGCAGTAATATTCTGAGGTTTATAGTAATCTAGATTAAGGATTGCATCTTAAATTAATCACCTGCTATGTGGTGGATCAGTTCTTCCCATTTGGATGCAACTGTATAAATACTGACCATATAAACTAATAACTATGTTTATTTAAAAATAGTTTCAAAATAGTTGTGCAGCAGTATTTGCACATTTCATTTAGATTTGTTTCTTATCTTAGCCTTATTTGCAGAGCAGTAAAAATAAATCACAAGATTCCACCCCTCTATTAATCTGATCCACCTTAGGGAAAAGCTGTGTGTTTATACCCACAATATGACTCCTCACTCCACCAGATTTATGTAAACATTTCTGAAGGAAGGGAAGGAAGAAGTTGGCAGAAGCAAGGAAATGAAGCAAACCCTTGGTCTCTCAAGACAAGGAAGCAAATTGCTTTTTCAGTGAAAAGGAAACAAATTGCTTCTTCAGTGAATATATGAAGCCAAAGCTCTGATCATTGCAGCCTCTTAACTTTGATTGTGATAGTTGTATCAGTACAGTTTAAGATAAGTGGGGGTGGGGAGTGATATAAAAATGCTGGCAGAAGATTGGCATGTGTTTGGCTGGTTTGATTTTTAAGATGTTCATACTTGTTAAGTGGAAACCAAAGGCTGAACAATCTTGCTATGCATTTCTAATATATTCATGTTTACTCAGAAGTAGCTCAATGTGTTCAGTGTTGAACTGTGAATTACTAAGTAGTAATTCTGTTTAGATTGGGATATAACCCAAACAGATTTGAACATGATTGTTATTCTGCAAAAACAAATATGCCCACACCTGGAACTACAATACATAGGAATTTGTTTACTTTGCAAACTGAAAACCAGGGTTTACAGAGTGTTTCCACAGGGAATAAGCTTATCACAGTAGATAATTCAGACTCTTTTCCCTAGAATCCACAATAATGTCAAAAATCAATAATCAGCGAAAAGCATTACTTATTCTAGAATTAAGTATAAATAGTTTTAGAACTACTTTATGTGTGAAATAGAGTATTATTCCCCTGAACAAACAGCATCCTGGAGTCTGTGTGTGTGACTGGGTTTGGACTCTATGATAATTCACTCTCAGAGTAGGTATATACTGAGAGTGGATTGTCACTGAATCATGGGTCACTCTTTCATATATTTTGTCAAGGCTGAGAAACTAAGATAAGGTCTGGCATCTTCCTTCCACACCTACAACTCCCATCATCACTAGCCAGAAAGGTCATTGGCTAGGGATGATCAGATGATAGGAGTTGTACTCCAACTCACCTGGAGTGCAGTGGTTTGGGGAAGGTTGATCTGTATTTAAGTGTGTTTAGGTTCCTTCCCAAATGTTAAATTTCATGTGTTAAAAGGCAGGATAGAGCTAGACACTTTGCTGAAAGGGAGGGAAGCAGGGGAAGTTTCAGTATAGATTCAACTCGTGACATGAACAAATGTTCTTCCCACATTTCAAAGAGCTACTCCGATGTATACTGTTCTGTAACCAGTTAGGTTTTAATGAACCAACTGTGTTTCTGAAGGTTTTGAGTCTGCTGGAGAAGGAAAGAGGGAAGAAATCTACTCATGGCACTACCAATGCTTGGGTACTTTAATTTTTTAATGTGAAAAAATTAATAAGTTCCATACATTTAAATTTAATGTTAAGTTATTGGGCCATTCATATTCAAATCAATACTTTTTTTCATTCCCTTAGGCTACCCTGGCCATTTGCATCATACAATTTTTTGACAATGGACCTGAATAATAGCCTTAATTTCTTTGATTAGCTATATGAGTTGCAGTGCAAAGAGCTTTATCATTTGGAATATAATAATCAAACAATAGTTATTTTCTAGTTTAATGTTGTTATGCATTTATTAACACATGTATGTACCACTTTTTATTCTCAAATCACAGGTCAATGTGTAAAAATAATTCAAACTATAATTAAATTGAATATAAAGGGCTGGATCCAGCGTTCTCTGAGTGGAAGTCTGCTCATGCAACAGGTCCCCAAACCTTGCAGAGCAGCTTTGGGGCAGCAGGGAGGAGAGCTCTGTTCCAGAGGTGGTTTTCCTTCCACTGATGGAATCATGCTGTTCAGTCCAACCCAAGGAGAAAAACAAGCAAAGAAATAAAGTAAATTAAGTAATAAAATCAGCAAATGTCAGGGTAAACAGATGCATTTTCCGCAGGTGCCAAAACACCACCAAGGACAGCACCTGTTGCACTGCAGGGAAGAGAAAATTTCAAAGGCAGGCTGCCGCAACAGAAAAGGCTCCATCATAATCGGCATCAGATTACCTATACAAGCAATTAAACAACCAGGCAGTCCTAATCTGTTGATCTCAGGGAACAGACAAGTTGGTATGGGAAAAGATGCTCGCTCAGGTAGTCTGGCTCCAAGTTATTTAAGGTCCTGCATATCAAGAACATCATCACAGTCCTTGC